TGGAAGGTCAACACTTGCAGACTCAGAATGCCAAGACCTGCCAGACCACCAGCTCCCTCCTGGGGGACAGAGGTGTGACCCTGGAAGCCTCCTAACCCCTCTGTGCCTCAGTTTCCTTACCTGTGAAAGGGGTCCATAGCATCCCTGCCCCATGAGGCCGGTGGGAACGAGTGATGAACAACAGAGCATGGGCTTAGGGCTTGATCCCACAACCGCCCTGGGGGGAGGGTGTTGCAGAGACCACCAAGTCCCAGAGGAGCCCCAATCAAAAACGAGGTCTCCTGGTACCTCCTCCACACGAAGCCTCAGTTTCCCCATCAGAGAGCCAAGGGCACCATGAGTGCACCATGGCTGCATTGCTCTGTGCGGTGAGAGTTATTAGCAAGCACCTGCAGTGTGGTCTGAGTCTGTGCCCACCTGACTCCCCCTCAATGGCGAGCCTGCGGCTAGCTCTGTCAGGACCTAGTTGGTTAGACGCCATGACGTCCAAAGCATGTTTCCTCAACTTCACTTCCAGACTCTCACCATCTTTCTGTTTCAATGACTGACATTATCCAAGTAAATTCCCACCGGCTCCTGGGACAGGGTTGGCTCACCCATCCAGGTAAGGAGTCCAGAAGGCTTTCTACCCCCACAGCACAGAATATCCCAGCCACCCACAGTCCCTGGCACTGGCCAAGGTCGTCCAGCCTCTGTGTGACCTCAACTTGCCACACACCCATCCCTGCCTAGCTCCTATCCAGTTTCCAGCTCAATTGTCTCCTCCTCCAGGAAGCCCTCCCTGACCTCCCACAAGCTCCCAGGCTTCCCTTCACAGAAACCAAACTTTCTGCCACTGAAGGCAGGGACTGGGCTGGCAGCTGGCCACAAGGCTAGCTGGATTCAGGACCACACTCTGAATTCCTCTTCACCCCAGTCCTGGGAAGTGTCAGATTACCCCATAAGCAAGGTAAGCACTGGTTTACTTGTCCTTACTTAGAAGTGTGTTCACCACATCAGATTCTGCCTCTAGGGATGGCTGGCCTCTGCCTCTCTCCCAACCCCCCTCTGACTCCTACAGAATCAAGGCCTCTTGTCAAATATGCAATCGCTTCCAGGGACGGAGGACCTGCAAATGAGGCAAGCAGGGTTCCTGGTGCATACTTACCAATCTGCAGGGAAGAGTTGCACATGTTTTTCACACTTTTATGAAACTATTCCCTACAGATTAGTACCAAGCATAAGTAAACCCGTGCTTACCTCGTTTACTGAGCACCCCACCCTGGGCCCTGGGCGTGGCTTGGGGAACAGCTGGTCAAGGGACTAAACAAGGACTCACCGATAAGACCCTGAAACCGCCAACAGAGGCCAACCTGACAACACTGCTGGGTTTTTAGGTTTCAGTCTCCCCGGCCAAGGTCAAGGCCACATTGGGCAGCCAAGCAGAAGTACAGGGTAGCGTTCCTTCTCCAGAATCAGCCCAGCCTCCACCACAAAACAAGTCTTGGCCAGGCTGCCCAGGAACTCCCCCTCCCGCCTGGCTTCCTCTCCTAACAGATCCTGGGACTTCTTTCCCAGAGGCTGGCTCTGGGAACCTGGTACACAAGGAGGCCCTGAGGGCTTCCTGCAACCAACGGCCCAGGAGAGGGGACCCAGAGCGAGGCAGCCGGGCTAGAGGGGCTGCCCGGGCCGACTGCGGCTCTGGCTGGGTTCTCTTGCCGCTGTGTGGCCTCCACAATCCCCTCACCCTCTCTGGTTAGAGCTAAAAACCCCTCAAACACCGATCAAGGCAGCAAAGGAAGGCCCCAGGCCAGCAATGCTCAACCCCCAAGGAATTCCTGGGGGGGGGGTCACTGGCCACGGGGTTGAGAAAGCAGGAAAGAAGGTCTCCCCCCATCCCCAGTCGCGGTTTACCGCCCGACTGATTGGTGTTTACCGCCTGACTGATGCTTCCGGCCTGTGACCGCTGTGGGGTTCCAGCCCTGTGTGCTGGATTGGCACCACCCCTGACCCAGCGCCGGAGTCTGACCCAGCACAGCCTCTCCTGCCTCAGTTTCCTCATCCGTGATGAGAGGGCGCTGCCGTCTGCTTCCCAGGCTGGTGTGAGGGTGCTGATGGGTCAGGCGCCAGAGCAGACCCTCAAGTCCCAAATTACCAAAGTGGGGGGACAGGAGAAGTTTGGGCCAAAACAGTCCTGTTGGGACCAGGACAAGACAGGGAGAGAAAAGTGAGGGGCAGAGAGGAAGGGGAAGGGGTGCAGGGAGGGGAGAAGGGGAAAGAGGAGGGGAAGCAATGTGGGGTGCAGGGAGGTGGGGGGGGAGACAGGG